ATGTGCACCACTAGGTCTTCTGGGGGCACCTCCCATGGTCCTTTGTGCTGCAATAAACCAAGTCGGTGTAGAATTCTTTCCCAGTGAATGGTGGAAGAACTCCACTGCCCTTCTGGGCATATGGGGGGAATTGTGGGAAGGCACTGGAGGACTGATCTAGCCTGCATTCTCACTGCAAAGAGGCAGATTGCCAGCTGGAGTAAAAGCAGAACCTGGGCTCTAACCCACATCCCCAGCCAGGCCAATTAGCCTGGGTTGAAAGCACCACTACCCGCAGGGGAGAGGGTTTTATGTGTGGACAGAAGAGCGGGGTGATGGGTAACACCTGGGTTAACTCAGTAATGAAGACACTCTACTTGTTACATAAAGACAGTTGTACCTGCATTGTAGACAGGGCTTTAAAAAACAGAGTTCCAGCTAATCAAGTGTTTCTAGGGCTCCAGAACAAAGGGAAAGAGATCCAGACTATGATGCCTGTGCAGGATTACCTCTAAACAGTGTTTTCCAAAGTTTCTCAAAAGGCTTCCGTGGCTCTTTAAAGCTCTGTGTAAAATCTGTCACAGTAGTGAAAATGGGTAAAATTACACAGCTTGTGGAAGAGATTAAAGGCGGACCCCTTCCGTTCACTTCATAAAGGAAGGACCGCATTAACACCTTGTGAAATATTAGCCATTAATCAGCTTCCACGCAGAATAAAACCATCAACATGTATCATTATTGGCTCTTTAATGAAGTGAGAATGGGAACGCTGGGGAGCTGGGATATTAATGTCTCCTAAGAGGCATGAGCAATGCCAAGGCCAGGAGCCAAGATTTTTAATTTACTGCCAAAAGCTTCCCCTGTTAATAATGTGGTTACTTATCCTGAACATTATCACTGTTTGGCCACAAGTGTTCCATTTACAGAAGTGAGCTGGGCCCTCGGAAAGCATGTGGCCAGCTGCTGTGTCTGCCAATCCTCTCCCCCTCGGCCTCCTTACAGGCAGGAGGGGGCTGTACAGCCACTGAAATCTTCCCAGCAGTTGTACCCATTCCTACCCCTGCTTTGTTTCCCTTCTCACTTGCACTTCTGGACTTTCTTTATGGTTAGGAGTGTTCCTGGCTGCACAGAGCCTGCTCTGCATACATATGCTGTAAACACGTTTCCCTGGAGTTCCATAAAGGCACTATCCTCACTCCTCCACCTGCATCTCTCCCCTCAAGACCCACTTCTTCCAGATCCCAGGGGGGACAGGGTGAGGGGCTGTTCGATCTATTGCAGGTGGCTAGTATCCATTACCTTTTTGGTGCATAGAATGTATATATAATAATGTGTGTGTATGTGTATATTGATAGATACAGATATATTTGATTGTAAATTTCTCCCCCATTCTCTGTCACTTGTCTTACGCTGTAAGCTCCTTGGGGCAGGGACCATGTCTTTTTATGCGTGTGTGTGTGTGTGTGTGGGGAGATCATCGAAACCACTGGGTGTTACTATAATAATAAAATAATCATAAATAATTATAAACACAGATTCCAGCCTTTGCAGTTGTCTGACTAGATTGAAGTGGCTCTAATATCACTCCAGGATTACGTAGGCAAAACCCAGCTATAAAAACCCCCTCCCCTCAGAGTTCATGGAGACAAATTCATTATACTGCCAAGACAGCAATGATGCCTTCAAGGCTCTGAAGGTCAATCCATGACACCTCTGAGATACCTCCAACCTCTCGAACTTGGTGAAGGTAATAACAGTACTTAGCAGTTACATCCCACTTTGTGGCTCAAGGCGTGATGCCAACATTAACTAATCAATCTTCAGAAACAAACCTGTGAGGTAGGTCAGTACTATTCGCCTGTTACAAATCAGAAGCTGAGGCAGCAAGAGGTTAAATAACTTACCTCTGATCTTGTTACTGGTAGAGCCAGGATTAGAACTCAGGAGCCTGAGTCTCCTTTTCCATGCTGCTGTTCAGCACAGGGAATATTTATCTCCCAGGACAGCAGGGATGGCCTGATAGCTACACAAGTTGCAGTTAGGAAGAGATTCTGCTCTTAGTCACACTTGTGTAAATGCAGAGTAATTCCACTGAATTAAATAGAGCAAGCCAGATTCTCATATCCACTAAGACCACTTTACACTGTTCTGGCCTTAAAGTGGGTGTCGCCCCAGATTTAATGAAAATGAGAATCTAGCCCAATGACTCCACATTCATGCTGATGTGAGTAAGAGCAGGATCTGGCCTGGAGAGCAAGGTACCGCTGGAGTCTTCTGCTGCTGGTGAATGGCTTTAGAGCCAGAAGGAGCTTTTTCCAGCGTTTATAATCTGAGTTATAACACAGATAGCTGCAGTTCTATGCTAAACACAGTTAGGAGGAAGAAATCACATCTCTTTCCAGTTCTATGGTGGCCAGGTTTGGAACCCAGGTGTGTGCATTACAGGGCAGCATGGTGAGGACGTGCAAGCCACTCACTGAGGTTAGCTCAGAGATGAAGCTTAGACTACACAGCTTGAAGAATAAAAATGCTAATATAACCTCACCGTCCTTGACCAATGCCCCCCTGTCCTGCTTTTTCCTTATTAAAACAGAAGGGATGAGTCGAACAACTTGTAGGGGAAAGGAAGCCAAGTGAATGAAGATGTGAAATGTGCTTCAAACAGCTTATTCATAGATTCATAGATTCTAGGACTGGAAGGGACCTCGAGAGGTCATCGAGTCCAGTCCCCTGCCCGCATGGCAGGACCAAATACTGTCTAGACCATCCCTGATAGACATTTATCTAACCTACTCTTAAATATCTCCAGAGATGGAGATTCCACAACCTCCCTAGGCAATTTATTCTAGTGTTTAACCACCCTGACAGTTAGGAACTTTTTCCTAATGTCCAACCTAGACCTCCCTTGATGCAGTTTAAGCCCATTGCTTCTTGTTCTATCCTCAGAGGCTAAGGTGAACAAGTTTTCTCCCTCCTCCTTATGACACCCTTTTAGATACCTGAAAACTGCTATCATGTCCCCTCTCAGTCTTCTCTTTTCCAAACTAAACAAACCCAATTCTTTCAGCCTTCCTTCATAGGTCATGTTCTCAAGACCTTTAATCATTCTTGTTGCTCTTCTCTGGACCCTTTCCAATTTCTCCACATCTTTCTTGAAATGCGGTGCCCAGAACTGGACACAATACTCCAGCTGAGGCCTAACTGGAGCAGAGTAGAGCGGAAGAATGACTTCTCGTGTCTTGCTCACAACACACCTGTTAATACATCCCAGAATCATGTTTGCTTTTTTTGCAACAGCATCACACTGTTGACTGATATTTAGCTTGTGGTCCACTATAACCCCTAGATCCCTTTCTGCCGTACTCCTTCCTAGATAGTCTCTTTCCATTCTGTATGTGTGAAACTGATTTTTCCTTCCTAAGTGGAGCACTTTGCATTTGTCTTTGTTAAACTTCATCCTGTTTAACTCAGACCATTTCTCCAATTTGTCCAGATCATTTTGAATTATGACCCTGTCCTCCAATAAGCGTACTTTCTATGCCAATATCTAAGTCGTTAATGAAGATATTGAACAGAGCCGGTCCCAAAACAGACCCCTGTGGAACCCCACTCGTTATGCCTTTCCAGCAGGATTGGGAACCATTAATAACAACTCTCTGAGTAGGGTTATCCAGCCAGTTATGCACCCACCTTATAGTAGCCCCATCTAAATTGTATTTGCCCAGTTTGTCGATAAGAATATCATGCGAGACCGTATCAAATGCCTTACTAAAGTCTAGGTATACCACATCCACAGCTTCTCCCTTATCCACAAGACTCGTTATCCTATCGAAGAAAGCTATCAGATTGGTTTGACATGATTTGTTCTTTACAAATCCATGCTGGCTGTTCCCTATCACCTTACCACCTTCCAAGTGTTTGCAGATGATTTCCTTAATTACTTGCTCCATTATCTTCCCTGGCACAGAAGTTAAACTAACTGGTCTGTAGTTTCCTGGGTTGTTTTTATTTCCCTTTAAAAAGCTGCATGCTTTCATCAGACCTTTTATCAGCCTTCCCCCTCCACAAGATGAGCTCATTTTAATCATTAGTGAAACACTCCTGTTTAAAAAAGCAGGGCCGATGTGAGTGGTTTGGTGTGTTATTAACAGCTCAAGGGCTTCTCTTGAGGAGTGAATGCCAGCCAAAGTTTTCAGAACTCGACTGCGAATGATCTCAGATCAGCATCTCCAAGGGCTCAAGCAATGCTTGGCAGTTAAAAAAGGCATTCTTTTCCAGGGCTCTGAGGGCAAGGGTGGGAATATGGGGTTAGATTCTCAGCTGGTGTAAATGAGAATCATTCCATTGATGTCAGAGGAGCAGTGTCAATCTACACCAGATGAGGATCCAGCCTAGAATGTTTTTCCTTCCTGCTCTGAGGTTTGCCTCCCCGCTTTTTATTTTGCACAAATCCTCAAACATTTTTCTGTGCCTTTGACCACTCGCGTGATGCCATACATTTCAGAGATCTCCTCTATAATACATCTGTTATGCTGCTAAATGTACTAGCTACATCCGCGTAGAACATACGTAGGCTGCTGAGCATTCCAAGCCCCTTCCGGTAGAAGGCACCTGGTCAACTGCAGAATGTACCAGGTACCTCCAGGCAGAAAGCACCTGCTGTGCTGCCAAATGGGGCCCGTAACTCATATACACTGGCTGCGGTGCTGAACATTTCAGATGCAGCAGAGTAGGTGTGCTCCATCTGGATGTTAGACCTACCAGGCACAGCCTACCTTCCACTGATGTCTATTAAATGATAATGGACAAGAACAGCAGAGCAGGTGCAGTAGAGTGCCAGCAACAAAATGGTTAAGGGCTAAATTTTGCACTCATTGTAGTTAACCCAACACGACTCCAGAGTGACTCCAGATTTACACTGGTTTAACAAAGAGAAGGATTAGGTGCTAAGTAACTAACATGGCTGTCCAACCAATTGTCCTCACCCCATAAACAAGCTCTTTGAACACATTCATTTTCCCTTTGCATTTATTCATGCTATTTTCACTGCAGTAATGCACAGGGACCCCAATCAGATCAGGGTCCCACTATGGTAGGCGCCACACACACAGGGAAATTCAAATGGCATTCTCTACTCCACTGAGAAACCTTCAAACACACACACACCCAGAACAAACTTTCCTCCACAGACTGCACCCTGACATTGTATTCATGCCTCCAGTTTATCATATGTCGTAGGTCTCTAGCACCTTCCAGCAGTGGGTTTCAAAGCACTTTGCAACCACTAGCAAATTTAGCCTCACAAAACCCCTGGGATGTAGGTAAAGATGGTCACCCCCATGTTATAGAAGAAATTGAGCCTCAGAATATTAGTGACTTGCCCAAGGTTATATATGGGTGTGTTAGCAGAGCTGGGATAGAATCTAGCTTGTCTGGTTCCCAAATCTATGCCTTAATCACAAGATCACACATCAGAACATAGGATCTGCCAGACTGGATCAGACTCAAGATCCATATAGTCCAGGATCTTGTCTCCGATAGTTACCAGTGCCCAGATGCCTCAGAGGAAGGCGCAAGAAATCCCTCAGTAGACATGTAGATCCAATCCTAATCTCTATTGCATAGGGATTGACTTAAAACCAAAAAGCATGAAGTTTTATATGCCCTCCAAAAATATTATTAGCATTAACTATTCTTGGATATTCTTGTTATTATAAATGTCCAGTCCCTCTTTGAATCTTGCTAAGCATGACTGTGCAATGATTTCACTATTTATGGCATTAATAGGATGGTATACTTATGTTGCAAAGTTAGATCAGCCACACGGCACAGCTACATCCATCTGCAAATCGTTTGAATCAAATGTTTTAAATCAGGGCTGGAATTTCAAGCGAGCTCAGCTCCCATTTAGGCACCGCAGTAAGCAGCCAGATCTTCATAAGAGATGAAGACGTTGACTGCTGTGCTCCTTAGAAAACCTGGCCTCAGGTGTCACGTTGGGAACTGAGCTGAGTATGGCAAGGCAGGATCTGATTTTAATTTATGACAAAGCTGAAGTAGCTGGTGCTCTGCATTGTCCCAAAGGTTGGAGGGATCTGCTGTTTGACAGAGCAACAGCCCCAGCTGCTTTGCCCTTTGATCAGTGCAGCAATAGGGGTCAGGAGAGTTGAATTTACAGATTTTGTGGCCTTTTGTTCTATGGAGTTAGAGGAGTTAATCAGAAAGACAGCGACTACTGACTTTATACAGTAAAAAGGTCAATGACTCAGGCTAGAGGCTGTATTGCTTTCTGACCGGTTTGGTGGTAATACTCTGAATGCTTGTAGCATACACACACACAATGCAGCATGCTACCCCATGAAATACCAACCATGGGGTGGAAATGTCACCACACCAGGGCAGAGAAGGTTACATAGCGGGGGAGAAGGTCTCACGTTCAGATGGTTTCTGCACCAGCGCATCTGAATCATGGTTCACACCGTTCTTCACCTAACATGGTGTTAATGCCACAGCTGGGTGTGTTTTCGCCATGTATCCAAGACCAAAGGTTAAACTGACGCCATGTGCTCATCTCCGCTGAACTTGGAGTGCACTGGATTTAGGGCCCTATGGACTAGTCTAATATACCTTGTTAGCTTTGTATGTAATGAAAGTTACAGCAGCAACCTAGAGCTTCAGGCTGGGCGTCAGATGTCCAACAACCCCACTTGCACTCAAACTCCCTAAGAAGCCTTTATAAATCCCAGACTTATTTGCCTGCCAGTCATCAGCCCTGCATTCTTGAATTCTTTGTAACCACAGCCAAAATGCAGTATGTTACTGGCTCTTCGGCAGGAAGGTGTTAATGCAGTCCCAATGCCCATAATGCTGGTGTTATCTTACCTTACTCTGATCCTAATTAACAGATTGAACATGGTCATGGTCACCCACCCATGTGCCTTACTAATGTAGCTTTTACAGCCATGATATTAGTGCCCTCGCCAGCTGTCCCTAATTTAAGCAGTCTGGATTTCTCCAGAACATTGGTACCCTCATTTTTCACCAATGCCTCTAATTAAAAACAACTGAGGAGTTCGTAGAGGTGCTCTCCTTATCTGTCTCTAGCCCTAATTAAAATAGCCTGGATGTCCATGACATTGGTGCCTGTTAAACCAGTCAGCAAAAGGTGATGTCCATTTTGGAACTTACTGAAGAATGTGTAGGAGTCATTGTTGCTCAGAAACGTCTCCACATCAATACCTTCCTTAGCAGCCTTATCCACCAGCTCCTGGCTAGAGAAGGCACCAGCTGCCTCTGTTGGCCCATCTTGTCCATCAGTCCCACCACTGAGGAACAGGACTTCACATTTCCCAAGGAAGTAGCCAGCCCCAGTGGCCTTAGCTCGGTGTAACTCCAATGCCACCTGTAAGGCCAACTCCTGGTTCCTCCCACCCTTCCCATTTCCTTGAAGCTGGACAGTGGTCTCTCCACCAGCCAGCAGGCAAACCGATCTTTCAGACTCCAATCCTTGCAAAGCCTTCAAAGAATCCACAAGGTTAAAACCTGGGATCTCTAGCTCTGCTGCCAGCTTTAGAAGATCTCCTCTCACCTGGTCTCTTAGAGGACCTTCTCCAAGTCCAGCTGTGCTCAAGCAAACAAACTGAATCAGCTGGCTGTAGAGTTTGGCCACTCTGCTGACCTCCCCACACACCCCTGCACTCAAAATCAGGGTCCAGTAGCCCAAATCCTCTGCTTGGCGTTTGGCCTCCTCTAAAGCTAAACTGTTTGAGCCAATGACAACATTGTAGACGTGAGAATAGTCTTTCGGACCACTGGGATCTGAGACGGAGCTGGACAGCACTGTTTTCACAGATCTGGGCAAGGTGCTCATCAGATTGTATTTTGTCATTATCTGAAGGCAGCCTTGAGCACTGGGGGAACTGTAGACAGTGGGACCACTCGCAATAATGTCCACTGGGTTGCCAATGACATCAGAGAGGATGAGGCTTAGCACCTAGAAGCAGAAAGGATGACAGATAAATGCAGTGCCTGCTGCAGAGACTCACTGACATGCAAGAGTAGGGTGACCAGATGTCTCGATTTTATCAGGACTGTCACGATATTTGCTTGTTTGTCCCGTGTCCCGACCAATGTTAGGTCGGAACACTGGACAAACAAGCAAATGCTCCGGAGCCCAGAAGTGCTCGCACCCCCCCCGCCCCCTCCTTCCCCCATTGGCTCCCTCCCCAAATCCCCGCCTCTTCCCCAGGCTCGCCAATCCTCCTCCCTCCACAAGTGCTGGAGGGAGGCCCCGGAGATGCAGGGGGAGCGCGGGGCCGGGGTGAGTGAGAGTCCAGCCTGGCCCCGAGCACAGGCAGGACTCAGTCAGGCGGTACTGGAGGGAGAGGAGGGGGGCGGCCTACGGGGCCAGGCGGCGGCTGTTCTCTCCCCCCTGGGCAGCGGGACTCGGGAGCAGCCGCTGCTGCAGCTCCCACTGCCGCGGGGGGAGGAAGCGGCCATGGCGCTCGGCGGCTGCAGCTCTGGTGCCCGGGCCCGAACCCCCCGAGTCCGGGCCTGTTGCGGGGACCCAGCAGCGCGCACGCTGCGCCCAGCCCCTGGCCAGTCACGTCTGGGCTGGCTGCCCAGCTGGTGCAATCC